TATTTCCTATTTCTTCTTTTTTCCTTTTCTTAAATATTTTGTTTTGTAGTTTGTGGCGGATTTTTGTCGCCCCATTTTTTATTCAGTAGGTTAATCGGTTTACATATATCGATGTGTTGTGATTATGTTAGCTTTGATTTCATTAAACCTGCCACAACCGTGGCCAGATTTATCCAACACAGTTGTTTGTTTATATTTTAATTCTGTTCCTTTTCGGAAAGTACGTGACCGGAAATGCAAGCAGAGCTCGTGCAGAGTTGGGCCTTGTTTAGAACACATGCCTTGATATAAAGATAAACACATCACAAAGCTATTCCAGTACCTTAAATTGAAGGTAGAAACTGTGCTTTACTGCTTAGGTGTTTATTTATGCTTTCATGAATGCACTGTTTTAATAGCAAACTTCAATATTATTTTTATCCTCCCCCCTGCAATGCAACTTTTCCAGACAAACCTGAACACTTATGGAGTAGTACAAGTGCCAGGGTAACATTCACTTCCTCTTCTAAATTGGGATGTTTGCTCACATCTTGAACATCATCATCATCATTTATTAGCCTTTTTTTACAACAAATTTAACAGGATATAGCAGGTTGTTAGGCGAGGATACCTCAAGAAACCACCAGGCTTATAAAGAGAGGCCACCTCGACATCACAATATTACAAGAAATAAGGGCTGCGAAGAAGTGCGGCTAAACTAATTTAGTAACTATTTTAATAAAAACTCTAGCACTTTGTTGTTAAAGACAGAAAAGCTTGACACGTTTTTTAACCGATGCAGCATGCAGGAAGACAGTTCCAGATCCTAGGTCCTTGGTAAAGAATTGTGAATTTCTTGATGTTCGTACGAAAGGAATGCACTCGATAATTAGTAGCTGTTCTTGTGTCATATCTATGGACTTGACTGTTTGTCATAAACAGATTGCGGAAGAGTGGAGGCAGCAGATTATTGTGGTAGCGAAACATAAATTTGGCAGTATCGAGCGTATTAACTTGGAAAATATCTAAAATTTCCAATTTCGAGAATAGAGGAGCAGTATGTGCTCGATATTCTGAATTTGTAATAGCTCACACAGCCCGCTTTTGTAGATAGTAAATTCTGTTTAAATTAGATACTTAAGTTGAACACCATGTGGAGTGACAATAAGTAATATAAGGATAAATTAATGTGTAGTACAGCGTGAGTTTGGTCTTGCAAAATAAGTAGAAACGCGTCCTGGATAAAACGCAGATTGATTTAGCGATTTGTTTACAGACAAAGTTTTAGTGATACTTCCAAGTAAGATGTTCGTCTAGGTGCACCCCAAGAAATTTAGTCACATTGCTTTAAATTAGAGGTTGACCTCCAAAAGAGAGAGAAAAACTGTGGTTGAGTTTCCTCTGACTCGGACTAAAGGTAACATAGTTTGTCTTTTAATATTAACTGAGAGCTTATTGCACCTTAACCAAACATTAATATTTAGTAACTCATTATTAAGCACGTTCTCTAAGTAATTGGGATTAGAGTGTGAAAAAAAGATACTCGTGTCGTCAACAAAAAGTAGAAGCTCAGTTAACTTGGAGGCTTTAGGAAGATCATTTATGTAAAGTATGAAGAATAAGGGGCCTAAGAGGAACTCCACACTTAATGGTCTGCATTGAGGAACAAGTTTGATTAATTTGGACGAATTGCTGACGGCAAGAAAAGTAGCTTTTTATCCACTGCAGAGCCACATTACGGATACCATAGTGCTCCAGCTCGGTGAATAAGATTTGATGACCAAGAGTGTCAAAAGCTTTGGAGAGATCTAGGAAAACACTTACAGTAGTTTCACGCTGGTCAGTTGCCGAAGAGATTCTATTTATCACATGGATTAGAGCATGGGACGTTGAATAATTTTTACGAAATCCAAACTGGCAGCGGTATAGTATATTATACTGCTCGGCGAATTCAATCATGCGATTATACATTACTTTTTCAAAAAATTTGGAAAAATTGGACAACAAAGAAATGGGTCTGTAGTTTGTAAAATGACTAGGATCATCTGCTTTGTAAATAGGAATCACTTTAGCAATTTTTAATTTATCAGGGAAGATGCCTTTTTGTAAAGACAGATTTATGATGTTGGCCAGAGGAGCAGAAATCAGGTAAAATGAGTGTTTAATTACACGCATTGACATATTGCCATAGCCGGGGGCCTTCCTCGAGGCGAAAATGCTATCTGCTAGCTTCATCTCTTTGTCAGTCAGACGGAAAGGTGCAGGTGGGAGTTTGGTTTTAACCCTTTTCCCTCATTTTCCTTTGCCCGAAGGAGACAAAAGTGAAACTTGTAGAGACGAAATAATGGGCATGATAAGAACAAGGTTTGCTTTCCAAAGGGTGACTAGTGTCTCGTCATTGCTTGGGCATAGTTAATAATGTACCTGAAGTGAACTCCTGGAACTCTCTTATGATTAGAACTTCTCAAAATTTGTTAGTTCCAAGTGAGACACCACTGCAAGAAAGTTCAACTTAAATTAAATGTAGAAATTATGATAAGCTTTTGTTAACGCATAAACATCAAAATTTAAAACACTATCATAACAATGTGGAAACAAATTACTGTCTTAGTAGCAATCTACAAGTGTACAACAGTACAATTAAGAAATGGCTAATGTGCAGCATGCAACCATCAAGTTATAGATGCACTTTGTGACGTTTGCTAAGCACTCAAGAAGTTAGAGCCACTTCAGGCAACTGGTACACTTTCCTCATATGCTCAGCAACCTTCCTGCATGCATCCATAGATGGATGCACAGCTCCAATGATTACCATTTCTTTCATAACATACCGGTAATCAAAAGAAAACAGATTTTAACTTACTTTACTCACAGATAGTAGAGGAATGATTTGTGTTGTCAGCTATGTGCACTTTGGTGTGTGTAAATCATATAGTCTTCTTACACAAAATTTTTTTTACCGAATGAGTAGTTCAATTTCTTAATTTGGATAGTAAATCCTTTTTACCTCATCCTTAACAGTTTTTGTTAACTTATTCTAAAAGTTTAGACAACAAACTTTACAAACTATGGGATAAAAAAGAAATATAGTCGCATAAAAAGTAACACGTAAAGCTTTGAGCACACGCACCCTTTCACCAGCATTCACCCATAGGCAAATGGGTAATTAACCCATCAGACGAGATTGTTGAGCAAGCGCATCATGTCTGGGAAAACGTGTCTCATGCCTTCATGGTATTGTAAGAGCATGAAACAATTACAGCCTTTGCTACCTCTGGCCTTTACTACAAGACTTGCCTGTGTGGAATTCTTACAATTATCATACGCAATACTATCAAACTGGATGTCTTCATTAGTAAGCTTATTCGGAGGTGGTTGATGACGACTTTTTTCTCCGGGAAAATTTTACTTTTCTTTTCACAAGATATGTTTTTCAGGTAGGAAACGCCTGTTATGCAAATAAACAACCTTGTCCAACAAAGGTACGTGTTCTTGTGTCAAATAAGCAGAAGAGATTCACAAATCTTGTTAATAAGAAACATATAACCCAAAAGCATTATAACTCTATTCAAATGCTGGGTTTTTTTTAAGGACCCAGTCAAAATTCACTTGCTGATATGGAGTTATCTTGTGTATCACAAACAAATGAAAAGCTTGTATGTAATATAATATGTATAAAGTTTTTTGCATTTAAACTTAATAAAAACTAAGATATCATTTTCTTTGCGATGTCTAATTTCATGTTTGCATCTGCCACCAGTACTAAATTCCATGCAAACACTGAGACATTGTAACTTGAAATTGAGGATATGGGTTAAGGCGAATGGAACACTCTTCGTTTATTAACATGATTCAAACTGTAAAGTTTGACATACGTCAATGTACTGTTAAAACAAACGTTTGAAAGTAAGCAATAGGTACGGCCCTACCTTTTAATTCACACCACGAGCAGCCTTGAAGAGCACCAGCTCCTACACAGCTGAATGTTTTCTTTAGGCCAGGGTAATCAAGTACAAAATTGTGAAGACGAACTTGAAAGTTTTCACTACGAAATGCATCAAAAAACAGCCTATCATCAAGTTCTATCAGTTCATCAACAAGCACGTCCAGATAAGGGTCAATTGACTTTGGCTCATGTTTTGCATTGGTAGGAATTATTCCAGCAAGCATCAAACACTTATGCTTGTTTCGCAGAATTTTGGGCAAATTGCAACCTTATTAAAGACTCTCGAAACAACCCTAGTGATCTATGGAAATCAGTCAAAGAAATACCAGGAAGCAATCCACGCAAAGATAATGTAACCAGCTTAATGTCAAATAGGATTACACACACCAACCCTACATCCATGTCTTCAATATTTAACAAATTCTTTGCAACTATTGGCATAAAACTTGCTGAGAAATTTACAACGAGGAACACTCTGACAACTAACGGTGTAAATCAAGCCAGCATTTTTGCTTTTAAAGCGATCAGTTGTGAGTCCGTTATAAAGATGATAAATGAACTTAAACCTAACAAGGCAGTTGGTTTAGATAAAGTAAGCTCTCGGTTGTTAAAGGATGCTGCTGATATTGTTGCACCAAGTCTCACATCGTTATTTGACATCTCTATAAATATTGGCTGTTTTCCGTCCACATGGAAACTGGCAAAGATATCTCTTCTTTTCAAAAAAGGGAGTAAACAAGATCCTTCTAGTTATAGACCGATATCGGTACTACCCACTATTAGCAAACTACTAGAGAAAGCTGTACATATGCAACTATACTCATATCTTTGTGATAATAACCTGCTTTCTCAAAAACAGTTTGGTTTTAGACTGAACTCTTCTACTGTCACCGCTTCAGCTATGTTTACAGATAAAATCCTCTCAGCCATGGACAAAGGAGAGCTTACTGGTGCCGTATTTATTGATCTGACTAAGGCCTTTTATACGGTAAACCATTCTATTCTATACACCGATTCAGCCTAAGACCGGAAGTTGCATGAAAGCGAGGCCTAAGGGCTATCGTTCGCGCGAAACATGGCGTCTTCATGTAAACAAAAGAATTTGAGTCACAAGTGTTGCGCGGCTGCTCTTTGCAATAATCGTTCAGATAACCGACCAGATTTAATTTTTCATAATTTCCCTCTGGACGAAAACCTTAAGAAAATCTGGGATCAAAAAATGAAGCGTGGCGACAAAAAATTTGCCTCGAACAGCTCACTCTTCTGCTGTTCTGAGCATTTTGGTGACAAGGACTACAGGAAAAGCCTTACCGGCAAAAGACGTGATCTTGTAAAGAGTGCTGTTCCTTCCGTTTTCCCATGGTCAGTTGGCAATGACGAAGCCTCTGAAAGGTCCGAAAAAGCCAAAAGTCGGGAATGCCAAAGGATTAAACTTTCTGCGATCCCATCCAAGAGTATGGAAAATAAACATCACCCATACGATGCACCTGACATCTCTGCAAAGGACACTCAAGACGAAGATTCAGGTGAAAAACCATTCGATGAAGAGAGAGAGTTGGTTGCCGAGAATTATGAACTTAAACAAAAGCTGTTTCTTTCAAAATTTGGTTTGGAGAGGTTTGGATCGAATGATGATGACATATTTTTCTACACAGGATTTCAGAGTTACCGAGCTTTGATGGCATTTTGGAACTTTATTAAACCTTTTTCTGAGTCACTGATGTCGTGGAACACAGCACGCGAAAAAGTGAAAGAAAGCTCCGCAAACAATGCCAATCCATTTCCTTTTTTGCAAGGACAGGAGAAACAAAGAAATAGAAAGAGAGAAATAGAGCCCATCGATCAGCTGTGGTTGTTTCTAACAAGGGTGCGTCTTGGCTTATTCGAGCGTGACTTGGCACACAGATTTAGTGTCTCTGTAAGTACAGTGTCTGATGTCTTTATTACTTGGGCAAACTACCTTTACATAATGTTGGGAAGTTTGCCTGTATGGCCTTCAAGAGACAAAATAAAACAACACTTGCCAGATTCTTTTAAAGGAAGGTATGAAAACGTACGTGGAATTCTTGATTGCACAGAGCTGAAATGTGAGTTACCCAAGGATTATCAGAAGCACTCAGAAATGTACTCAGACTATAAATCTCACGACACATTTAAAGGGCTCATCTGCATTTCACCGAGTGGATGGATAACATTTGTTAGTCAGTTGTATCCAGGGAGAATAAGTGATAAGGAAATTGTGGAGAAGAGTAACTTCTGTCAGTTAATTGAAATGGGGGACCAGTACCTTGCAGACAAGGGCTTTGAGATCCATGACCTAATGGCCCTCAGAGGAGCAAGTTTATATATTCCTCCAAAGAGATTTTCTGCCAATGACCAGTTCACACAAAGCCAGTGTTTTGAGACCATGAGTATAGCAAATGTGCGTATTCATGTTGAAAGAGCAATTAAGCGAATCAAGGCTTGGCATATTTGTAGTCAAGTTCTGCCTCTTTCCAGCTTTGGGTCCATAAATCAGATCTGGACTGTATGTGCTTTGTTAGTAAATTTTCAATATCCAATTATTTCAGTTTAAAGAAAGGAAGCTTTCAGTATTTTGGAAGGGATGGGTTCTTATATCAGGGAACTAACAAGTGTGTTTTTTAGGAATTGAATGTTAAACTAAAGATTCTGAAGCTGTTCAGGTCTTGTTACTTTATTTAAGTCTCTGGTTTGGGTTTATTCAATAATTGGAGGACTTGATATGTGAAAAAGTAAATGCAAAAATAATATTCTATCAAATGCACATGGATAGATTGGGTACTCAGATTTAAAACTGATGGAGACTGACTGTGCTTGAAGAAAATATATTTGTGATAGTAATGATGATGGTGATAATAATATAGAAAATAAAACCAAAATTTGTCTTTTCTTCAAACCTAAAAGTCTATCTGTAAGACAAATCCTAAAAAAATAACGGTCAAAATTTTCAAAAACAAGACACAAAAATATCTAGTTTCACCTTCCCTGCCCCCACCATCCCATCACTTGTAAAGTATAACTTGAATACCATTCCTTGTGCTTTAGAACATACTAAAGCTCTTATGCAGACATTTTGTTAGAGTCAACTTATATTTTCCAAGAAACTAATAGTGTTGCTTTGCAGTTCTAAAAACACTCACTGTTTTTATTTTGAGATATATTTCTTGTGAAAAGCAATTAAACTAGGCTTAATTTCATCCTCCCACCTTGAGGATGATGTGACCTTGAGAACCAAAACTGGAAATGTGTTGTTGGTAAATATGACAAAGTCAGCTAATGGAATTCCACTGACCCCCATTTGCATCTGAGTCTGAAACCAATATTTGTGCTTTTCTTTTACTACAAAGACAGAGTTTAGTTCCATAAATGGGAAACTGCTTTCCTTTTGATGATTATTTATTGCAGTCTCTGGTGACATATCCTGCTTGGACTCTACACATTTTATTTCCACATTTCTGTATTCAATGTCACCATTGGCATACACTATTGTTGCAATCAGGGCTTGCTGCAAGAACATCATTTTCTTTGTCTAAAATTAATCCAATCTCTTGAACTGTCACTTCCTTGATGTCTGGCAATGACAAGAGATATTCTTTGTACAAATCAGCTGCCACAGGTTCATTTTCAATACCAAAGATCAATCCTTTACTTTTATAATTAAGATGTTTAGCTTGTGAATAGCTGACCATTTTTTGGGGTGCTCCTTTTGCGGTAATTTTTTTTACTAGATTTTCTGGTAATTTTGACGCCTGTTTTTGCATATGAGAAAAGACATCTTTACAGATACTGGCAGTTATTCTGTTTTGCTTTTGTTCAAACCAAGCAGGATTCGTTGATTGTCCTCTTGTTGCCATTTCAATTTGCTTTTGCTTGTCTGTAAGAGTTTCAACAAATAATGTTTCTGTTTGGACTGTTGGCTGTTGTGCTTCAGATGAATCAATTGTACTTTCAATAAAACTTGAAATATTCTGTTCTTGCTGTGGGTTATTAACATTACAATCTGATATCTGCTGAAGCTGTAGCTCATCATAATCATTAGAAGGAGTGCTAAGGGGTCCCATTTCTGATTCACACTGCACAGTGGAAGGTGGAGCAGAGATTTCATGATTCAAACTTGAATTTGAATTCAGTGCTTGCCCATTTGAGACAGGATTCACATTTTCTTTACCAGCAAGGGAGGAACTACTAAAATAGGGTACTACCAAATTTGGAGGCTGCCGGGAATAATCTTGAAGTTGCTTATGAATTGTTGAACCTTTAGCAACAGTGCCAACTATAGTCATTACTGTTTGAATTGTCTTTTCCTCTGGTAACATAGCAGCAAAGGGTATACGAGCATTTATTTTCTGAAGATCTTGCCTCAGCTTTACAATTCCATCAGCATCAAGCTTC